AAAGTTTATTACTATAAATAATTTTTATATCTTCTGTCAGTAGAACCACAAGAGTACCTCAATACCACCAGCTGATAATAATCTTTACAAATCCTACTTTGTGGCTATACCATCTGTTAGTTATTATTTTATGTGTCTCCATAAGCATATGTGAATTAGTTATCACTCAAGACAAATACATAAATGGAATTATGGTTTTGTGGGGAGTCTTTTATTGGCTTGTTTTTATTATTTGTAGTCCAGGAAGAAAATAGAAGTATTCCTCAGTTTTAGAGAACATGAGTAAATGCAAATTATTTATTTATTTATTTTTGATACCAGGAATAGAACTCAAAACCTTGTGCTTACAAGGCAAGCACTTATGCCACTGAGCTAAATATCCTGGCCTAAATGCAAATTTTTTAAAAAGTTTCTACAGTTGCAAATATAAGACATTTAAATCAAATGATCTAAAAATAACTGTAAAACTAGGTTAAAATACAAAGCCACCAAAACTGGATTAAATTATATTAAAAAACATATTTATTACTCCCAAAATACACCTACAAAACTAAAATGAACACATTTAATTAATTGGTATATCATATATAAAGGTAGATATAAAAGAAGTTAATATGGTTTTAGTTTTTCACAATATGTAACACTTTCTAGCACTGAAAAGTACAAATGAATGACTACTTGTTTACTTGTAATGTTTATTCTTTTAAGAGATGAATCATTATGTCAAAAACTCAAAGCCAACCTTCTTCCAAGTTTTTGGGTTCATCCCAAAGATGTAAGTAACAGCTACTGGACTAGCAGAAGGCAGTTAGTGGCCACTATGTCATTAAAACTCACTATAAAAATTTACCCAGAAGGGCAACAAGAAAAAAGAAACAGAAGGATGTGGAAAATCCTCTAATTGGATAATTAGTTCAAATTATAACTCTTCCCCCAAGTACCAGAGTCTAATGACTTTAATTTTAATAAGCCCAAACATAGGTTCATCTGAGCTTATGCTATACAATATGATCTATCTGTTAGAAATTAACAATGGCTCTTAAAACACAGACTAAAACACAATTTCAGAAAATTACATATTGATGACTACTTAGTTCAATAATGTTTCCTTAAGTTACTCTATTTTTGGCAGTAACAGCTTAGGATAACCCACAGGGAACAAGGTAGAAACAGCGTTAACTAATTTGAGTGATCTTTGAGGGAAATCCTGTACTAATTTAGGAGAGGAGTGAAAGAGAAAACAAACCCTTTACGAAGTACTGAGAAATGGTGGTTTTCTGGAATTAAAACTATATTGTTGTCCACTTCACAAAATACAAAGTCCCAGTTAATACTAACAAATATGCTGCTTTTCATAAACATCGTTTTGTATAAATGTATTAAAATAACTCATAATGTAGTCTGAAAATTACCTGGTTCCCAAATCATATCTCCTTTTCCAAATTCAATTCCCCTAGATATTAGAATTTCTTTTATGTTGAGAGATGTATTCAGATAGGGAACATGGTTTTAAAATACATATGTTTTTAAAATATAATTTACATGAAGTGTAAGAAAAAAATATAACAGTCTACTTAAAAATATTTAAAGAGTCTCTAAAACCACCCTGTAGAATAAGCCAAGTTAACAAGACTCTTGTGTATAAAGCAGTTTCATAACATGATTTTATTGTATTTCTAAAATGGTCTTAACAAAGGATTTCATTTCCCAACAACTTATTTCAAGTAAATAAAAATTAATGGCAGTGTCTTAATGTCTTGACTCCTTTAAAGTGATTTCTTTCCCCTTTGAAATCCTATAGCTATCTTGAAGTTAAGGAGTTTAAAGAACTTACTTTATTCTACTTTACATTCTAATCATTTATCCAGAAGTTACTGACGGAATTAATGCCACACAACCTCCTGTGTCTACCAGTATGAGAGTAGCAGAGGCCTCAAGTTTTAATTAAGATATGGTTCTCACCTTCCAGGAACTCAAGTTAGAGTGAAGTTGTGAAAGATAACATAAGTAGTAACAGGGCATTGGGTTGTCCCTAGCTGAAGGAATAACAACAACAAAAATCACAACAGACACGACATTTGGGCAGATTTTAGAGGAATGTACAGAAGTAACAAAACCTATGTGTTTTTTTTTAAAGAAAGAAACAATAAAGAAATTCCTCATCAAATATAGTCTAGTAAACAGATGTGGACACAGCTGGGTAGGAAAAAACCACAGATTTGGAAGGTATTCGGTAGGCAAAATCAAGGATTGACAGATTTGATGGGGAGTGATCTTTAACAGAGATGACATGAATTTGGGCAGAATGATGTTTCAGAGTAGTGGAGTAAGGAGTCAACAGAATGAAATGTTTAAAAGCTTGGAATAACGCAGGCAATTGGATATATAGTCTAGAACTTAAGGAAGAATTGTGGGTGGAGAAATACTAGAGCCAATAGGAGCCTTGTTTTGGTTTACATCTGTATGCACCCCCAAAGCTTCATGCAGTCCGGGTAGGACTGATGACAGCAGTAGTATATATGGCACCACAGTTGGCTTGGTGTTAGGAGGTGGGTTCTGTGGATGTGACATGGAGGGGAGTATCTTTCTCCCTGGCTCAGCAACTTTGCTCTCTGCTTCCTGGCCACCAAGATATGAGCAGTCTTCCTCCACTAGCATTCCTTTTGTCTGGAGGCAGCTGACTACAGAAGGATTGAAATCTGTTAGAGCCTGCTGACCACGCAAGGACTGAAACTTCTAAAACATGAACCAAAATAAACCCTCTTTGACGTTGTGAGTATCAGGTGTTTGGTCCTGGCCATGAGGAAAATAACTAAGACAAGCCTCCACACAGAATTTAAAGCTGTGAGACTAAGATTCACTTTCACTGCATCAAGGAACCTGGCTACAGAGTGACCATCAATGTTTTGGTTTTTGTATTTTAAGAGTAAAACAATAAATTCCACTTTAGATGCTTACAGTAAAAATAAATGATTATTTGGATTTTCTGTGGCAAAACATATACTGCCTCTAAAAGTATTTTATTACTATCTTTTTATCAATCTGTGGTACCTTTTTTATCAAACTTGTAGTACCCTTTACGGTGTTTGTTTCTTCTTTGCTATGTTACTGAACTCTAGGATGGCAAACACTGTCCTCTCAAACCTAGAAGCTACCCTGAGAGCACTTCTAAATTTGGAATTCTTTTTGTCAATGAGACAACTCTAAAAACATAAGTGAGGTCTGTAGACACGTTCAATGAGTCACACAAATGCTATGATCTAAATGTTTCTACTCCTCCCCTAATTGTGTAGGTTGAAATTGAATCCTCAAAGATGGCAGTATTAAGAGGTGTGGCCTTTAGGATGTGACCAGTCAGAAATATGGAATCACATAAGTGGGCTCAGTTTCCTCAGAAGGGGCTAAAGAGACCAAGCACCTTCTACATGGGAACCCAAGCAGAAGGTGAAAACCAAAAGCAATCCCTTGCCAGTCATCAAACATGCAAAACAAAACTAGCACCTTGATCCTGAGCTTTCTCTCCTCCAGAACTTTGAGAGATAAATTGCCTATATGTCATCAGGTATTTCACATTTTGTAATAGCAGCCTAAACATACTAAGCAATTAAACTCAAGTAATCATGGATGATCACTGAACCTAGTGTTTATTTTCAAAATACATCAACCTTTATTTCCTCTCAAAGACGCGACTCATGGCTGGCACTCCCTAAATGTTTGAACAAATGAAAGAGATCAAGACATGTCAGAATATAGGCCAGACATTTGCCTTGTCCTTGGATCTATTTCCTCCATCACCACCTACTCAGTCCTTGCACACGGCCTTAAATATAGCCAATGCTTAACAAAATTTGTTCTATAAATGAATAAAAGAATGAATGTAGTTTGATAGGAAAAATGATTCTTTTCATTTTACTGAATTTACTTTATATATTATGTCTTTAAGTTTCTTCCTTAACTGTAAGACATTTGCTCTCTGTGTAAATTACAAATATAAAAGTAAAAATCTCAAATATCACTGCTATTTATACAACTCCTGGCTGCAATTATCCATTTACCAAATCTTTTAGACAGCCTATTCTGCGATAGGAATTGGGGATACCAAGGTAAATCAAACAGGCTAGGCACCTAATTTAACTTTAGGGTAGATAACATACCCTCTCATTATACAAGTGGCATATAAGCGGAGGTGTACCGCCCATATGAAGGTTCAAAATTCATGGATATTTTTTCTATCATAATACTTAATATTCCCTTATAACCTAAAAGTGACTATTTTGGTGATTAAAGAATGTTAATATATTTCTATTTCTATGTAATATGTAAAAGTCTCCTAAGTATACTTTCTTTCCTTTTATTTATTTATTTAGTTTTTTTTTTTTTTTTTTTTTTTTTTTGAGACAGGGTTTCACTATGTACCTCAGGCTGGCTGAAACTAGTGATTCTCCTGCCTCAACCTCCCTAGCACTGGGATTACAGACCTGCACTACCATGCCCCAGCTCACCTAATTACAGTTTCAACTGTCCTCAAGGAGAAAACTGTCCTCAAGGAGAAAACTGTCCTTAAAAAAGACCAAATACCCTAGTCTTTCTAGAGCCCTATCCCAGAGTATACTCCGATGCTAGAAATAATAAAGTTATATAGTTCTGAATAGGTTATTTTCAAGCCTTTTCTATGATTTCATGTATTGTCTACTTAAGATTTACTACAAAATAATCACTCAATGAAAAATAACTGATGCTTTAACTTGAGGGCTCTATTCTTCACTCCAATCCCACCCAGAAAGTTTCCATTTCCAGCACTAGGAAAATCTTAGCACTTAGCAAGTCACTCCTCCCTGTACAGGGATCTAATGACTCTGAGCAGATCACTTGTTTCTTGGTGTCTAAGCACCTGTCTTTAAAACATGGGCAAAAGATACTTTTAACCTCAGAGGACTAGGTAACCCTGATGCTTCATTCTGATTCACCCTAATCAGACTCTTTCACTGGGTTTAACTTACCTCCAAAGTTTGGTTGCTTTCTGCTTCAGAAGTTTTATCTCCTGGATCATTTGTTTTATCTCCTGTGAAGCAAAAGAGATAGAACATAAATATACTATGAAGACTGAATTATCTTTTTGTTGGATTAAACCTTTTTCCTGGATCCTTGGTATCAAAAAAAAACAAAAGGAACCATTTTTGTTACTATATATTCCATATCAGGAAAGCAACCATTATTCCCCTTGCTATAAAGCAAACAAGTTTTTTAAGAGTAATAACTTTATGCAGGTCTCATAAAGCATCCATAAACACACAACCTACACCAGAAATGCATCACACTTTATACAGGTTGACTTCAGGAAAATGAAATGAATTCATATTTTTAGAACAAGTAGATTTCAAATTAACTAAGACAGCTTATGACTTAACGAGAATAAGGCAAATTATTTTAAAATGTAAATTCTTCATGATATGATTAATGGTCCTCCAAATCAGTTTTTCATATGGTTTACTCTTTATAAGTACTTACTTATCAGTGTATTCGTCTTGGAGTAGATGTATACTGTATATTCTATGTAATGATTAATCAAATAGCCAGGAGTTTAGCTCCATGGCACAAAAACCTGCCTAGCAAGTGTGAAGTCTTGAGTTTGATCCCTGGTACCAAAAAAAAAAAAAAAGTGTTAATCAAATGCAACATGATCTTTACTGCAGGAAAGAACAACAGACAAATGCATAAATTAATCTTCGGTTAATACTCTGATTCGTAAAGCTGATGGTTTAGTCACCAACTTGTGACTAAAGCTGACTTGAAAGACATAAGACAGATGCAAACATAGTTAGGCAAGTATAAGCATAGTTAACTTATTAATGGCCTACTTTAATAATTAGCACAAATGGCTGGTAATTAACACATGACAGCATATTACTCTACCTCTGTGAAACATAAGTACAGGCTAATTTAGCAATATGTAAATTGTGCTTCCCATAAAATTAAGCAAGCATAAGAATGTCCACAAAGGCAAGATTACCAAATGGATAGATGACAGTTTGGCTGACATGAACAGTTAGGAATCTGTTAATATAAGGAAGGTCAGGAGTCTAAAGTCAAGTATGAAAATCTTTGATGAAGTTAACTTTTCCATATGAAAGACAAAAGGATCCAAACTTGCCAATGTGTATTTCAGTCTGTCTGCTTTATTGTTAACTTGTGTGCAACATTACCACGGCTGGGCACAGCCCACCATATAACAAGTGTTCAACAAATATTAGTTGAACAAATTGGTGAACTTCTCTTTTTAGTTTTTCACCTACAAATGCATGACTAAAGATTTAATGGCATTTAATAAAAACTATTTCAGCATACATTAATGCTTTTCTTTTACAACTTAATGAAACGTTAAAGGGCAAATTTATCAAACACCATTTTGAAATGTGGTTACAAGTGATCAATAATCATGGCATAATTAATTAAATCTTAAAAAGTTATTTTTTTCAAAAATAATATTGAATGAATACCATTAGCACCTTTGGAATTATGTCTAAATATTTAACTGTCACTAAGTGAAAAATTAACTTACTCTTGTGATCTAGGGTGTCAAACAACTATTTTGATTGATTTTAAGTGATTGTTAGATTGACCACTTATTGGCGCATCTGAAAGACGCCCCAACCCCGTGTTTTTTTTCTCTCAAAGAAATTCCTTTCATTTTGAAAGTTAGGGATATAATAACCAACCCCTAGTTTATAGGTTAAAAAATTAGAGTACAAGGAATTTACTTTGATTAGTTATAGGCCACATGAGCAGCCAAGATAAAGTAAATCTCTACAATCAGGTCAGTGTAATGTACATACCTCCCAAAACCCCACATATATATGGTGTGTGCGTGCATAAACCACTATGAAGAGTCATTTATTTTAGTCAGATAATTCATCTTTTAAAATGACTAGTATTCTACCCATATAACTACACAAATGCTGTATTTGGCTAATCTCATCCAGCACAGAGTCTACACTTTGGCATCTTCTAATTTTAAGCTGTGTATCTGCAACAAAATTTTCTTATTTCTCCCTACTGCTTCAAAAATCAGAAAGGTTATCAGCCAGTGCTCTTGATATCTCACAACATATCTGCCTGGAAGCAAATGCACAATCACTGTTTACTGATACGCTATGTCTAGTGATGACTCAGAACAGTGACTACAAGGGAAATTCCATTTGCAAGATTATTCTCTGAAAACCAAAGCACAAAATGAAAGCTAAACAAATGACAAACAAATAATATCACAATAAAATATAATTTTTGAATTTTTATTGAATTATTTTTCAGGCTAAACCAGTTATTTTATTTTTTTTTAATTTTTACAAAATGTTTATTCTCTTAAATTCAATGCATCCAAGGGGTGTTAACATTTTAAAGATTTATTATTTCCACCCAACTGTAGTATTATCCTTTTTATTTTTATTTATTGTTTTGTTTTTAGACACTTTTGTTTTTGAACACACTGTGTAGCATATGCTGGCTTAGAACGCAGGGTAATCTTTCTGCCTCACCCTCTGAGTGCTGGGAATACAGACATACACCACCATGCCTGGCTTGTAGCATTATCTAAGTAAACCAAAATCACTTTTATCATTTGTGCAACCAAGGACTATTAATGTTGTTTTAAAAAAGACTTAAACTGTGCAAGCAACACTCTGTGACAGATTATCCAAACAGTCTGTCACAATTTGAGCTTGCTATAGCAAGAAAGTCTAACCTATTCCGGCACTCTCCTTTCTGTGAGACAAGCCGTTTCATAGACTGAAACAAGTTTTTAAAAAAAGGACTTAAACTCCAAAATTTTAGCACAGATAGCTTTATAGTGTTTCACATAGCAGAGGATTTTTAAAAAATAGCTTATAGAAAGAATAGTTTCAAACTATGTAAATATATTATGCCATGTTGTCAATCCATTAAGTCAAAAATAACTTCCAAATTGAATAAGTTACAACGAAATAGTAATTCTGCTTTGAAAAGAAATGTACTTAACAGTGTTACCTACTAATCCAACTCTCCAAACTTAACTCAGAATTGGAAGATGAGTTCCATAGTAATATAATATTAACCTCTTTCCAATCATTTTATTATATCAATTGTTTATATTCTATCACATCCTCGGTTTCAATTTTTACACATTTAAGTCACTAACATAAGGGATAGTTCTATAACAAAGTATTTCTAAAAAGAAAAAAATTCACACACTACACAGAACTCTGAATATGGCATGACTTAAAATAGATGAATGCATTATGATTTTTAATATTTTAGTCATTTTCTAAATACTAGCAGGTAAACTTGACTATGTAATACATGACAGCTACAGCTTTACTCACTAAGAAATTATGTATTAATTTCCTTCATGCCTCTTTTCCGCCTTATTGCAAAACTCAGAACTTGTTCTTTGTGATTCAGTGAATTTCAAACTTTTTTTTGAAAAGGGATTGAAGGAAGGTGATAAACTGTGAACAGAAAAAAGGTCTCAAATTAATCCTTTAAATTGTTTTTTCTTCAATATGACTTAAAACTTTAAAAAGTAAAAATTACTAAAGGGATAGTTGAATCTACCAATATATGACCTAAATTTCTAAATAGGAGAACAGAAGAATATAATACTGCAACATTCAATTCTGAAATTTAGGACAATTATCTGACATAACTAGACTGTTAGAGCAGTCAGAAACATACAGGTCAGTAAGTAGTTATTTTGCGTTTGGGGATGGTCAGTCAAAAAACAGAATGACAAATGAAGAAAAAAATCTGTTTTCCATTTTAGGGGGTTTAAATCTCTGAAACTCATGTGACTTGCTCAGATCAAAGATGACATTTTGAAATTTTTTTGAATAACCCCATTCTTTCATTGAATATCATGATTGACAGTCACATCTTCAAGGACAATCAGTGCTTTAACAGCCTGTTGAATGAAACATTAGTAAGGTCAGAATGACAAATTAAATTTCATACTAAAAAAGTCTACTCAAGTATCACATTCAGTGTTCAAATCATTTACTCTGATGACAACAGATTTGGCTGAAATCAACCTCATACACACTCCCATCCACAGCCGACACCCACCCATCTGCTTGGCGACACTAGGCTATGGAGTCAGAGGTGGCATTCTCGAAGCCACATTTTAAAGAGATTTTAAAAAGCAATTTCTAAGTGTTATAGAAATGCTTATTCAAAAACCATTTTCTCTCATTCCCTCATCTCCTATATTGAAGGATGTATTAAAGGCCCCCCTGCCACTGCACCACGCTAAATCTGCCAGGCAGAAAATCTCTGCAAATTAAAATATAAAAACAAAGACATAAAATTATACATATATATACATATCTCAGAGTAAAATTATATAATACATAGTGTATATAATAGAGTATGTATTATATATACTACATATTGTTTAGTATATTCTATATTACATATTATTATATATTACACAATGTATTACATACTAATATAAATTATGTTATATAATAATACACTACAACATATAATAGGTAATCTATAATTATATTATGAATTATATAAGCTGTAATATATATTACATATATTTAAAAATCACTTTAGAGATGAATGTTTGGATCCTACTGCTCATAACTCCAAAATCCATGATTTAAGAACATACTTTCCATATCCTTCCTGGCAATTACCTCCATTCCAAAACAGTTCAAATAGCCATGACTCAAGTTTAATGAGGAGAGAAAAAATTTTGAGTAGTTTTTTGGTTGTTTCTGCTTTGGTGATATGGCACATATTGTGCTTTGGTATTACTTTGAGTCATTCCCTGCGGTCTTGCTCTATGGCTGAACTGGAGTCTCTGTTCCTTGATGGTGCTGGTTGCTTCCCTAGTACTGCCTTGGAAGCCAGAATAATCATTAGTAATGCTTTTTTCTGGTTTCTTATGTGGTTTCTCAATGGACTTCACAGAAACTCCCTTCTCTTGATTTTTGATGGGAGATATTACACTGCATTTGGGTGAGATTCCCATACTGGCTGAACAAGAACTGGAGATGATTTTTTAGAGAGCTCCTGGCATACTTC